AAAATCTAACAATGTATAAAAAGAATGACACACTACAACCAAATGGGATTTATCCCAGGTATGCAAGGCTGGTTCAACATTCAAAAATCAATTAATGTAATCTATTACATCAACAGGCTAAAAAAGAAGTCACATGACCATATCAATAGATGAAGAAAAAGCATTTGGCAAAATCCAACACCAAACATCCATGATAAAAACTCTCAGTAAACTAAGAATACAGGGGAACTTCCTCAGCTTGATAAAGAACATCTACAAAAAACCTACAGCTAACATCACACTGAACAGTATGGCACTCAAAGCTTTCCCACTACAATCAGGTCCAAGGCCAGGATGGCCCTTCTCACCACTCCATCTCAACATCATACTGGAAAGTCCTAGTTAATGCAGTAAGACAAGAAAAGGAAATAAAAGATATACAGATTTGGGAAGGAAGAAATAAAACTGTCTTTGTTCACAGATGACATAATTATCTATGTAGAAAATCCAAAAGAATCAACAAAAAAACCTCCTGGAATTAATAAGTGATTATATCAAGGTTGCAGGACACAAGGTTAATATACAAAAGTCAATATCCAAAGAAGATATACAGGTGGCAAATAAGCATATGAAAGGATGTACCACATCACGTGTCATCAGGGAAATGTGAATTAAAACAATCAGGTACCACTACATGTTTATTTGAATGGCCAAACTCCAGAACACTGATAACACCAAATGCTGAAGAGGATGTGGAGCGACAGAAACTCCCATTCATCACTGGTGGGAATGCAAAATGATACAGCAGCTTTGGAAGAGGGTTTGGCAGTTTGTTACAAAACTAAACATACTCTTGCCACATGATCCAGCAATCATACTCTTTGGTATTCACCCAAAGGAGGTGAAAACATGTCCACACAAAAAAATGCACACAGATGTTTACAGCAGCTTCATTCATAACTGCCCTAACTTGGAAGCAACCAAGATGCCCTTTAGCAGGCGAATGGATAAATTGTGGTACAGTCGGACAATGGAATCTTACGCAGCGCTAAAAAGAAATGAGCTATCAGGCCATGAAAAGACATGGAGGAACCTTAAATGCGTATTACCAAGAGAAAGTGGCCAGTCTGAAAAGGTCACATACTGTATGATTTCAATTACACGGCGGTATAACATTCTGGAAAAGGCAAAACTGTGGTTTAAAAAAAAAACACCAATCAGTGGTTGCCAGGGAATGAAGAGAGGAGAGAGATGAGTAAGTGGAAAATGGAGGATTTTTAGTGCAGTGTAAATACTCTGTATGATACCATAATGATGGACTCACGTCATTATATATTTATCCAAACCCATAGAATGTACAACACCAAGAGTGAACCTATAAACTATAGTCTTTTGGTGATTACGACGTGTCAATAGTAACAAATGCACCACCACTCTGAGGAAGATGTGGATAGTGGGGGAGGCTATTCATGTGTGTGGGCTGGGGTCACGGGACCTCTTGGTACTTTCCCTTCAATTTTCCTGTGAATCTAAAACTGCTCCAAAAAAAACCTTCTTGATTCAAAAATGTAAAAAAAGGGCCGGCTGAGTGGCACGTTGGTTAAGACCTGGCTTGGGACGCCAGCTCTGAGCAGCAGGGCCCTGGTTCAGATCCCACATTAGGGCCAGTGATGCTGCGCCCTCTATAGCTAAGATGGTGAACAACACTCGACCTGGAGTTGGGCTGCCTTGAGTCGCCTGCGACAGCGTAGGCTGCAGTGAGGCTGTAGTGAGCTGCAGTGAGCTGCCGTGAACTACTGTGAACGGCCAGCAGCTGGCATGAGCAGTCGACCAGTGGCCGGCGACCGATCTGCCTCACCCAGGAAGAGCGTAATAATACCAACATGGGCCAGTGAAGCGACGTCCTCCACAACTAGATTGAAGAACAAAAGGACAGCAACTTTTCTGTTCCCCTTCCCCGATTTCCCAGTGCTGCTCCCCTCCCCCAATTCCCCAATAAAATCTTTAAAAAAATAAAAATGTAAAAAAAATACCTTTTCCACTGAAGTCTTTAATTTTTTTGTAATTGATTTTTGTGTACCATGGGGGTAAGAACCCCATATCATTTTTTGTACATGGATAACCAATTTTCAGCATTATTAATTGATAGTCCATTCTTACGCTATGCATTGCACTGCCATCTCTGTCAGATTTGCTAAGTGTTCCACAGTGCCCCATAAAGACTTGTGCCACTTGAAATACCAACAGTGTGCCCACTGATAAACAGTGGTTTAACTCAGCCACTGAGTTTTTTAACAAATGTATTTTTTCATTTCTCTAAACTCTATCTGATTCTTTTCAAATTTGCCTGGCCATTTTTTATAATTGCTTGTTCCTTGTTCTTTTTTTAATAGCCATCTTTTACTTCCTAATCATTTTATATCCTCTATTTCATAACTCCAAAACATTAAGTTCTTGGGAGTCTAAATATGCTGATTGTTGTTTCTGCTCACCCTTATCATGGCATTATTTCCTTCTGTGTTTGGTGATTTTTCAATTATGAGCTCATATTTTATTATATCCTGTGGGCTGAAGTCGGGATGACTTTCCTTCTGAGAGAACGTGCATGTGGCTTCCTTGGAGGACCTCACGCCCGCTGCGGGAGTCTCAGGCTTAGTGCTCCCACTCTGCAGCAGACCCCGGACTCACTCTCAGGATCCCATCCTACTGGACATTTGTCCCCAAGGTAACCTGGCTTTTGTGTTTGTGGACTGTTGCTATTTAAATTCTAGCAAACTGTTCCTTTTATCTCTATTTTTTTTCCCTCAGGGAATAGAAATGCCTGGATATTTTCCTCAAAGCTCTGTGATTCCTTAAAAGGAATACTCGTTATGGGTTATTTGAGCTCCACTTATACTGAGTGGAAGGCCACTTGAAAACAGTCAATCACACTACCTGCCTCACTCCCTTCTCTTTTTGTTCCTGCTGCTGGAACTGCGCGGGTATAAAACAGCAAGTCCCCGCAGAGCTGGGCAACCTCTCCTTTCAGCACCCTCCTCAAGGTCTAGGCTTGGTTGGGGGTAGGCAGGAGACGGAAGGAAGGACAAACACCACAAAGCCTGATCTAGCCAAAGGTCAAGCCTTTACCCAATTAATTAATAAGGCTGGTGTTTTAATTTTCATCTGTTTGATTTCTGTGTCTGTTTCCCAGCTGAATCCAAAATTAGAAAGGAATCACATACCGTATGGTCCCATTTACATGAAATGGCCAGAATCTATGAACTCATAAGAACAAAGCAGATTAGTGGCTGTCTGGGGCTAGGTGTAGTGGAATGCGAGTAACTACAAATGGGTAAGAGGTTTCTTTTTGAGATGATGAAAATATTCTGAAATTAGGTTGTGGTGATAGTTACACAACTCTGCAAATATACTGAAAACCACTGAATTCTACACTTTTAAGGGGCAAATTTATGATATGTGAATGATAGCTCAATAAAGCTATTATAACATTGAGAAAGACAGGGATATGATTTACTGATATAAAACACTTGTTCAAAAATGCATACAAAGCAAAAACTTACAGTGCAGTGAACTGTCACAAAGCAAACAGACATTTAACCATCACCCAGGTCAATAAATAAAACACTGCCAGCAAAGCAGATGCCTTTGTCTTGTTTCCTCCTAATCATGGACCCCTCCCTCGAATCTTGGGACTTCTAACCACAGCTTGTCTTCCTTTTCCTTAGTAATCTGGGAACAAGGAATCCTGGACAAAAGCCCTTTGTTGACTATAAGTGGCAAATATCTTTTAGTCCATGGCCTTTGTACTCTCTTTTAATGGTATCTTTTGGTAAACAGATGTTCTTAATTGTAACATAGATAAATTAAGTCCTTTTTTATGATTAGTGCCTTTTGATTCCTTTCTCTAACAACAGGGAATTATTAATTGACCCCTTCAAACACTGTTATTGAATACATATTCTTTAATCAGATCCATACATATTTTTTCTTTCTTTGTTATTCCTGACAAATTTTTAAAAAGACAGAGCCTAGATATGTATTTTTCCAGATTACAAATTTAAAAATTACTACTTGAATAAAATAAATCTAATTCAGAACACAGAAAATCAAGATATTCACATAGGAATTATTTTCATAAAGACCTTTAGACTACTACAGAAGATGGCAGATTAGGGGAAAAAAAAATATATATATACATATATATATATATATATATATATATATGTATATATATATACTACTAAAAAAAAACCTTTATAGTTACTGACTTTTCAGGGTAATCAAATCATTGTTATTATCAAGAAAACTTTACTTATTACATTAAATTTCCATTTAACTAGAATCTAAACAATCAGAAAGATAACGTAGCTAATATTTAATAATAACATTGTAAAAATAACAGCTAATATTTAAAACTAATGTTCAAAATTATGTGCCTAAGGAATTGCAAAAACTCCCAAAGATTATATTACATTTAAAATGTCTGTGTCAATATACAAATAATAAAGCTTTGAAGACTAGCCATTAATTTATGGTAGCTGTCTTGATTCTTAATTAGATTATGCAAATAACCAGAACATTTCCAGTCTCTGACCAATCTGAGCAAATGTGGCCTTACTCTAACAAGATTGCATATATCTTCATAATTTGGTCCTAGTTCCATCTGTATTAATTATATGCACTTTTCCTTCCAAATTACCCAAGAGGCTTTTGTTTTGGTATGGAAGAGCATTATTTACTATTTCATATAAATTTAATTTATAAATTCAACTTGTACATGATTATTTATATTAAACTGCAGATTCTGCAGGACTATTACCAGCACTTTCCATCACACCTAGCAGAGAGTAGATACACAAATGTTTGTGAGCAAATTGAATGGCAAAAATCTAACCTGCAAAAGAGTATGTCCCATCTACCACCACAACAATTTCCAAACACCTGATCATTAAAATTCACAATGTATCCTTTCTTCTCAGGAACAAAGTTAACCTCAATAAAGTTTACTTGTAAATACTTACTCTCTCTGCTTTCAGGCTCATTTTGTTCAAGAACGCTAGTTCCTGATGGATTCAACTGCCACTGCAAAAGGGCACAAACATGTTATTTATGTTTAAGAAAGATTTAATAAAGAGCATTTCAGCACCCTGCTTTCACAGATCAAAACAACTTAAAAAATGTAAGAAAAAAAGAGTTAGCATGTCTGTACCTACCACGACTTAATACCCTGAATGACCCTTAATGATATGATTTCTGGGATCAGAATTAATACTCTTAGAGAAGGAACGAATATTTGAGATATTTTTGAGATATTCCATTTTGCAGGTAAGGAAGTGGAAGACCAGAGACGTGCAGTGACTTGTCCAAGGTTACACACTAATTAAAGGCAGCAATAGAATTAGAATCTGGGTCTAGAATTTGCCCAATACTATAGAATTTCCACCACCTCATATTCTATCTCCAGGTCCTACAGATCTTATAATAGCAAGAGAAGGCCTAAAGATTAAAGAACGAAATTTTGACCAAGATTATCTTGCCTTTTAATATAGTTATGCCATATAATATATACTATTATTTATATCATATCATATCTCTGATTATAGTTTTCCATCTTAACCATTCAGAAATAGGGAAATTGGGGCCAGCCGAGTGGCGTGATGGTTAACAACTGGCTTGGGATGCCAGAGGGCCCCGGTTTGGATCCCATATATGAGGGCCAGTGACACTGCCCTCCACAGCTAAGATGCTGAAAAACAGCTCAACTTGGAGCTGGGCTGCTGTGAGTTGCTGGCAACGGCGTAGGCTGTTCCCCTTCCCCCCAATTCCCCACCGCTGTTCCCATCCCAATTCCCCAATAAAAATCTTAAAAAAAAAAAAAAAAGAAATAGGGAAATTGGAAGATGCTCAGATACTATAGAGAAGACTGGAGCACCAGATAAGAAAAGCTGAGTGTAATCAGTATCTCATAGCACAGCCCTTCCTTTCTTCCTTCCTTGGCTAGAAATCCCCGTCATCAAAATCACTAATGACTTAACCAAAAAGGCCCCACTAGGGCACTATCTCCAGAAAGACACACTTAAGTGTTTAGTACCTGGGAGCCTCTTCAAATAGAATCAGTTAGTTCATCAAATAAACTAGCTAGTGTCATGGGCCTTAAAGGAGGAATGAGATACAAGATAAACATTTTACCATGTGTACAAAACAATCCTTGGATCGGGAAGACATCTAGAACTGTGTGGTCACCTATAGAAATGGGATGGTTAGGGTAGCACCAGGAAAAAGAGAACTCACAAGAGGTGGTAAGTTATATATGAAAAGAAGTTCATAAAAGGACTACTTCTAACTGTAAAAACTTGGAAGAAATCTAGGTATCCAATAACAGGGGAATGGTTAAATAAGTTATGTCAATAGATAGGAATGCTGTGTAATGATTAAAAATTATTTTTGAAGAATTTTCAATGACATATAAAATGTAACAACATGTTAAAAGTATGATGTATGAATTGTGGGATAATACTAGTTCTTTTTTTATTTTCCTAGACCTCCACAATGAGCATATATTACTTTCATAATTAAAAAACTAATATGACCTAATGGAGAAAAGTCCACATGTATTTAAACAAAAAATTTAAACAATAAAAGGGTTTCTGAGTAAATGAACATGGATTTACACTGGTAAAATCTATTCTTGAAAATACTGTTGCCCAGCGCTAGCCATAACCCCACGGAACAGAACCACTTATCTTAAGGCATATGGTAACACCTCAAAGAGAAAAGCAAACATTTTTCACACAAAATTAATTTCAGGGGCCGGCCAAGTGGCATGATGGTTAAGAACTCGCTTGGGACGCCAGAGGGCCGCAGTTCAGATCCCACATTTGAGGGCCAGTGACACTGTCCTCCAAAGCTAAGATGCTGAACAACAGCTCAACCTGGAGCTGGGCTGCTGTGAGTTGCCGGCGATGGCGTAGGCTACAGCCCCTGCTGCAGTGGG